ATACCCTACCACTTCCATGGGCTGTAGAGTGAAGGTCATTTAAATATGGGGCTAGAAGACACCCAGTCTAGCAGACCCTAATATACACAGAGGGCTTTAAAATGCTAACTCCCCTTGCCCTCTTTTAGGAGTTTAACCTCTTAAATGTCCAACGTGTCAGACTTAGGAGACACCTGAGCTTCTGGCCCCAAGGAGTTAAGCCCAAAAAAGGGAATAACATCTTAGAGATGAAAAAATATATATATTTTTTAAAATAACTAAATAAGAAAAAAACAGCAAACCATCACTATGGTGTCACTTTAGTTGTTCAGTTCACCTTCTACCAGAAAGTCAATAACTAGATTTTCAGCTGCTCACACAATACTCTCACGATACTCAGGAAGACTATCAGTATTATTTACCAACCTGAGATTTCAAGACCAAAGTAGCTGAAATTATAGCCAACTTAGAGAATTTTTCCAGTTCGGCTATATTGTCGTTGAACTTGAAATTCATTTTGATTTCATTTTGAATTCTCAATTTAGTGAAGAACTCTGTCTGTCATGAGAAATGATGACTGGCGGTGATGGGGATGTAGTTTATCTATGGCAGTAGGGCTATGCGATGCTACCATTATAAAGACTTTTTATATGATTACTGATAAAAATGATTTGAAACCAGGGCTCGAGTCCTGCAGGAACGCATGGGAACGGCGTTCCTGCACTTTTTCCAAAGCAGGAACGCCGTTCCCGTTACCTGTCCTGCAGGACCGGCCCTGCTCCCTGCACTGAGGGGCCATCACACGCTGTGTTCCCTCTCCAGCTATAACTCTCGCGAGACCCGCGGCTGTTACCATGGCAACGCTCCGCACAGGCGAGTCTCGCGAGAGTTAAAGCTGGAGAACGAACACAGCGTGTGATGGCCCCTCTGTGCAGCGGCTCCTCCCACTGATCACCAGGCCATCTCCCTCCCCTGACATAGGGTAGCTAGGAGGGGAATAAATAAATATTAAAACACAAAGCAAGAAAAAATGCTTCCCTCCCTAACACCCATCATCCAGCACTCCACCACACACCCATCATCCAGCACTCCACACACCCATCATCCAGCACTCACACACACACATCATCCAGCACTCACACACACATCATCCAGCACTCACACACCCATCATCCGTAGCACTCACACACACACATCATCCAGCACCTCACACACACACATCATCCAGCACTCCACACACACATCATCCACAGCACACACACACACACACACACACATCATCCAACCACACACACATCATCCAGCACACACACACAACACACACACACAGGATCATCCAGCACACCCACACACACATCATCCAGCACTCACACACATCACCCAGCACACACACACACACTCATCCAGCACACTCCACACACACACATCATCCAGCACACACACACACACACACACACATCATCCACATCATCCAGCACCCACACATCATCCAGCACTCACACACACATTATCCAGAACCACACACCCACCATCCAGCACTCACACACCCATCATCCAGCACTCCAGCACTCACACGCCCATCATCCAGCACTCACACACCCATCATCCAGCACTCACACACACATCATGCAGCACACACACACACCATCCAGCACTCACACACCCACCATCCAGCACTCACACACCCATCATCCATCGCACACACACACACACACATCATCCAGCACTCTCACACACACACACATCATCCAGCACTCACACACACATCATCCAGCACATGCACATACTGCATTCATTATACACACTCTTCACTCACTACAAACACACTACATTCATTATACACTCACTACAAACACACTACATTCACTATACACCCTCTGCATTCACTATACACACTCTGCATTCATTATACACATTCTGCACTCACTACACACTACATTCACTATACACACTCTGCATTCACTACAAACACACTACATACACTGCATTCATTGTACACACTCTGCACTCACTACAAACACACTAAATTAATTATACACAATTTGCACTCACTACAAACACACTACATTCACTATACACACTCTGCATTCATTGTACACACTCTGCACTCACTACAAACACACTAAATTAATTATACACAATTTGCACTCACTACAAGCACACTACATTCACTATACACACTCTGCATTCATTATACACACTCTGCACTCACTACAAAAACACTACATTCACTATACACACTGCACTCACTACAAAAACACTACATTTATTATACACACTGCACTCACTACAAACACAGTACATTCATTATACACACTCTGCACTCACTAAAAACACACTGCATTCATTATGCACACTCTGTACTCACTACAAATACACTACAATTATTATTCACACTGCACTCACTACAAACACACTACATTTATTATTCATACTCTGCATTCACTACATTCATTATACACACCCTGCACTGCACTATATGCATAGTAGTGTAATTTTTTTTTTTTTAACGGGGGGGAGGCGGGAATCTTGGGTGAGTTCCCACACTTTTTTCCCCAGGACTTGACCCCTGTTTGAAACAAAACAAAGGTCTACATAACAGATGCCAAGCTTTACATACATATGGGGTAAGGGTACTATAGGCTCTTGTCAAAGGGTTAAAGTGGATTTGCTCCTTGATTGTACTTCTAAAGTAAACTT